GATAAGATAAAAAGTTTAGAAGAAAAAATTAATCATCTAGAAGAAGAAAACAGGAAATTAAAAGATCAACAGAATGGACAGTTAACTGCTCAAATTGAAGTTAAAGAGACTAAAAGATGATCTTGATTGAAAATAAGAAAGTAATTTTCCTCTCTATAAATTGAAGCTCATTCTAACTATCAAAGAAAATGGTATTTATTTTCCTTTTAAAGATTTTAGCTTCTTATTAGATAATAATGCATTATCATGATGTTTTCTTTTTCCAACATTTATGATTTTTCTTTCTTCTTGGTAAATTTCATAGGTAATCCTTTCTTTCTTTAGATAAGCTTCCAGCATCTGAGTATTGTTTATTTTGAAAACATAAGGAGAAATTTTCTCGCCTTGTTCTTTCTTCAAGGTACTTCTAATAGTGCTATAATTCATGGGTTCCATGGTAGATCTAATATAAATTAACTTCATATTAACTATTTTGTATAGGGATAGTTCTATATATCACTTAAGATAATGAATGGGATATTATAAAACTGTTAATTATGATCACATTACAAATGACTAAATTTTGATCCCTGAAATTTTTGGTAACACTAATGTTCACTTTGTCTGGTTTTGTTGCAGCATCCCCCATATATAAAATTTACTAATAAACTTTTTTTCAACAATTATAAAAATAAAAATTGCATCTTCTCATTCAAAAAAAAAAGATACAACTATAAAATTAAGTGATATTATAACAAATATAATGGTTCACATGATGACAGAGAGTTTTTTTTAATTTTATTAGTAAAATCATCCAAAATGTTAAAAAATACTGTTAAACTTTGAAATGTATAGGCTCAATAACCAAACAAGTTAGAGTAAAAAAATTTCCATAGTTTTTTCTCTGTGATTCAAAGAATAGCCTGACAGAGAGTTTTTTTAAAAATTATTAGTAGAACAAGGATTTATAAGAATTCAAAGTTGTGCGATTTTATTAATAAAAAAAATTTTCGATTTTTTTTCTGATAATCATTTCCTTTTAAGGAAAACGTAAAGTCTTTTTCTTAATAATAAGAAACGTAAGAATCGTAAAAAATAAAATATTCAAGTTTAAATAAATAAAATGCCGAAGTCCAATAAAAGAAAAAGACTAATTCATAATGCACGTGTGGTCAAAAAAATGAAAACTTCCTCAGAACCTTTACTCCTTATTGAACAAGAAAATAATGTTCCAATACCATTAAGTAATAAGGCTCTAGAAGTAAAGCAAAAATTAATAAATAAAATCAATTCATTACCAGAAAAACAAATCTTTGCATGTTCTACATTGCTCGAAATTATGGTTTATCCTGATGGTATTAATAAGGGTGAAATTATTTCATCATACCTACAAAAAAGGCACTAAATTTAGTTCTATCAAATCGGGGAAAACAAGATTCTAGTGCCACAGGGATCCAAAATAAAATAAAATTATTAAAGAGTGAAAATGAAAAGTTGACTAAGAAAATTGAATCAGCTACTTCGAAGAAGAGAACTCTGGCCATCAAACTAAAAAAACAAGAACAAAATAGAGATCTTTATATTTCACGAATGAGATCATTAGTTTCGAAAAGAAAAAATGTATCAGAAGGAGAGATCCAACAAAAAAGATTAAAGAGAATAAACATACCTATACGCCTGAGTTTACTGCTCTAATATCCCAAATTAGCAATAGGTCAAATGTCATTATCTTCAACAACCCAGTGCACAAGAGAAGTCTTTACCTTTCTGACTGGTCATTCCCCCGATACTTGGGTTTCAAAAAGTACTTTATCTCGATGGAATAAAGAAGTGGCAGAACTTGCAATTATTGAAAATCTTCCAAATTCCACTTCTACATTTGCTTCATATGGAATCCTAGCAGATGAAAGCACAAGAGGAGATAAAAAAATCTTCTTAGTATGTGTTGCACATTGGAATACAATCAAAGAGGAACCTATTATCACAATTCTAAGTATGAAAGACTTGGATTGTTGCACCTCAACCAATGTATCTACAACTGTGTTGAAACCATTAGATCATTTAACTTAAATCCCTTACATTGTCTATATTGGCTCACTGATAACACAAATTATATGTCAGGATCCAAGAATGGTGCTGTTGTTAATTTCAACAAAAGATTTGGAGCAAATGCAAGCAGGATTCCATGTGGCCTGCATGTTGTTCATATTGCAGCAACAGCTTTTGACAATACAACCTTTGGGAAAATCAATTCTCCCTCAGGTCTTTCCTTGAATCCCCATCCATTTAATGTAATAAATCTTGCCTATCATCTTCATAGTGGATACAATGAGTCCAATAAAGATAATCCATTGAATATGAAGAATGAAACTATAAAGAAATTATATAAGACATTATTGAATGAAGATTTCAACAAATATCAAAAACCACACACAAATCATTGGTTATATCTATTAATAGCAGCAAGACAGTACCTTGAACAATGTGAAATCCATCTTAAATTTACTCAATGGTTTGTTCAAGAGTTAGAATGCTCAAGGAATGTTCCTGAGGGATATCTTCATAAATGGAAAACATTCCTAGAATTCCTACTGAATGAAAAAGTTGAATATAGAAATATTAATAATGGTTAAATTTGGGGAATGGTTCTATGAAAGAATAATAAATTTTTTATTGGTTCTGATTAGTGTTGGTTGCCAAAACTATTTTGAAGAAGCGAAAGTCAAAACTAAAATTAAAATTTATATGTCAAAACTAAATCAAAAGTCAAAGGTCAAATGTCAAAACTAGTTTCGACTTATGCGAAACCTTTTGACTTTCGCATAGTTGCGGAACTCTTTAGTTTTGGAAACCAACATTAATTACCATATTCGTGAAGAGCGCGTTCTTGATATATGGAAAAAATGCGAGCGTCTCCAACAAGATGTGGATTACAATTCAACAGTTATGAGAGATATAGAGCTTCATTACGAGAAGCAGATAAAGAAAAATAAGTCAAAATCTAAATCTGTGAAAATTTCCGATTTACCCATTATTGATGGCGGAATCAACATGATTGAAACTGGCACAACTGATAATGGTTCGTCTCGCTTCTGAAGCGAGTCTGAGGGGACGAATCTAATGATTCATGATACTCCTGCTCCTGCAAAAAAAGCAGAAGAAAAAAATAAACTGTATAACATACTTAAGGACAATCGTATGGAAACAAAAAAGACGTTAAATGAGGCGGAACGGTTACTGACTTCTTACTAATTGGGGCTCTACAGGCCCAAAGGGGCGACACTATGCATCATTCGCATTCGTAAAATTTTATTAGCATCAATTAATTTGGTGTTAAAATCAAGAACCTTGTATAACGATTTTTCGAGTTCCTCACAATTCATGTGTTTTTTTAATGGTTCACCCATTTCCTGTGAGATTTGATCTGGGATAGCGGTATCAGTATTTTCTACCACTGCTACACAATTTACTTCGAGCTTATTCTTGACCTTATGCATAGTGACTGGAATAATAAAATCTTCTCCATTAAAGGGAATCTTCAATTCATCTTTGGCCCAATCTATAGCACATTTAGTAGAGGGTTCGAAAATATTAATGTTGGCTTATGATGTTTTACAACCACAAAATCTTCATGTATGGTGAAACCTGGGAGGAATGTTATTGGTAAATTACGAACCACACCAATAGATTCAGTTGGAATGGTAGCAATGCCACTGAGATCATACTTTTCCGATTTATCAATTTTTTCACCTATGCGCTTAACAAAGTCTTCTGATGTAATTGCAAGTTCGGCTGTGGAATCCAATTCCATTGCAGGAATTTTTAAGCACTTGATTTTACATTTTATAGTTGCGATACTTGTAGTGGTTTCTTTTTTCTGAACGAAGTCTATTTCCATATGGTCTTCCAATGATTCCTCCTCATCTTCATCTAGTATTTCTGGAACTGGTACTCAGTAATTTCTGAAATCTGGTTGATTTGGAGACTTGAAGCTTTGTTTCTGAATAGGCGCAACTATATTAGATGAATTTTTGATGTTTGCTTTAAGGTTCTCCATCAAATCTACAGGTAGGATACCATCAAACATATTTGGTATAATTTTTGAAGGGATTTATCAATAAGATTTGGTTTAGCCATACTAGCTCCACTATTTCGTCCTTTATCAGAGGAAGTTATTTTTTCACCCTGTTTTGTTTTACGAGTTTTGGACTTTCTCCCAGAGGAAGATTTATTTGAGGGGGTAGAACCCCGAGTCTTTGACTCACCACTCTTTTGCTTCACTTTTTTTTGCTTTAGCAGTGTTGATTATATTCTGAACGATTTCAGTAATATTCTCAGATTCAGATTCAGGTCCATCGGAATCAGAAGAAACACCAGTATTAGAATCATTGTCAGAGGAGCTAGCGCCAGAATTGGAACTCGAATATATATTAGCTATATTAATCCTGTCTTTCTTTTTGGATTCTCTCCTATGGTTTCTCTTTTTATATTTAGGGCAATTGCAGGAATTATATCCACTTTTATTACAAAGAGAACACCTATGTTTGGACGATTTCTTAAAAACGGCATGTATTACTCGAGCCATTGCCTGGTTGACACCCAACTGCTCAAATTGTAATCTCAAATCTTCTATTGGATCATAATCATAACCATCCTCAGGTTGACCTGTATTATCCGCCACACTATCTAAAATTTATTCATGGCAATTTCATCCACTTTTTGTTTCCCAGGACCTGGCTTTTTTGACAGAGTCTGCTTTGATCCAGCCATTGTTTCCTTCAAACCCACCACTATATCATAAAGTTTTTTAAAATCCACTTGCGAAACTGAGTTATCATTACTTTGCACATCCTGGGACTTAGAAGGGGTAGGGTTTATAGGACCCATCCTGGAATTTATCAGGTTTTCGACTTTAACCACTAGAAATAAATGAAAATATTATGTCTCAACAATATCTGTATCAAGCTTTGATGACAGATATTCCAGTAACCAAATAAGTGCCAAAACAATTTCCGAAACACAATTTTACATCGCAAATATAAAAATTTAATTTTTTTTTTCAAAATGAAAGTTTAATGGTTGCTAGATACAATTTCCACAATCAGATTTACAACAGAATCATTAAAGACATCTCTTTATATAAGTAATTCAATCATTAATGGAAGAATAATTTTAATCTTTTTGATCCTTTGACATGGATAATCAATCTAATGTTTCTTTGTATCCAACCAATTGGGATGAAATAACTTGGGTTAACGCTTATTTGAACTCTAGGCTATGTAAAAATGAAAACGCCATATAAGTATTTTGATGCCTTTAAAAATTTTTTAGTAACAATATTAAATTATTGAATATCTTTACATTATTATATCTCAATGTATAGTAACATGAAATTTCGAATATATAATTATCAAAATCTAGGTTTTTACTAATTAGTGCAAACACGTGATCAAATACTTTTGTCCAGGTAGTGTACATTTTAAAAGTCATCTTTGACGTAAATAAGAATAAAACTAACTGTTCGAAAAAAAAAAAAAGGAAAATTTGGGTATTACGATGTTACCAAAATTTTTTTAAATGAACTTATAAGATTGCCTATTGACCTATGATAACTATAAATTTGTTTAAAATGCTAGTTGAATTAATACTGTTTGGAAAAAGTTTTTACTTGGCTTTTGTTGCCTTTTTATTTTATTTTGTTATTCTTTTAGTCAATTATTATTATTATCATTAATTGCTCTTATTAATTGCATGGTTATTATCCTTATATCAACTCTTCTTGTGGTTAACTTTTAGGAATATTCAAAAAAAAACTGATCTCACGCCTTACACCAATGAAAGTCATAGCAAAAATCAAAAATACCGGCTACTCTAGAAAACTGCAAAGATAACCAAAAGTGATCTAATATTATTCAAAAGAAACATAGTTATGATGGAATCAAGATGACGATTATACAACTTATTTCGGGATATAGAGTGGAACGAAGCTGGACTTTTGCAAAGAAACGTTCAGAAAGCTGCCGTATTGAATAGTATGTCTAATAACGATTGTAACCTCATCTTGGAAAATTTTCTAAATATCACTTCTGAATATCTTTTTTTTTTTTGACCAGTCATTTGCAGCTTTCAGGGTTGTTCTCCCTTTCCTGCTAATGGTCGGATTCTATTTTTCTACATCACCGATACTGTTAACATCGAAGCACAGCAGATATTTAGTAATATTTTACATGCGTTACGAACCAAAGGAACGTAGCTACGCTTGGAAGAGTATGTATTGTGATGGCTGAAAAGAAAATACATCAATGTTTTTGATTTGTATAAAATAATCATTGGTTTTCATATATGATGTAATACATAAAGTTTTACGTAAAATAATATAAAGGTTGCATTTAATGTGTAATTTTTCATCAAATATCTATATAATTAACAATATCAAATCCATGATTTTTCTACTCGAAATAACTCACAATCATACGATATTCACAGTGAGTATTTCAGTTCCATTCCAAGGTTCATCATAACATTTGAGGCAATAAACCCATGTACAAAAATAATCACCACTACTACAACTCACTCACCATGTATATTTTTCCCAAGCCTCATGCATGAGGTTTGATACAGGGTTGAACCCCTCTTTATATGCTCTTTTTACATATGTGGCGTATTATCGAGCTAGTAAAATCATGATGTGACATGTTGGTTGACTCTCTCCATCAATCTACGCGTGTTCAGTATCTTCAACTCTAAAAGGCAAATTATATCGATTAACATGTGATTCAATCCCAGCCAAAGCCAGAACACATGTTTCACTCATCTTGCTAATTCCTAATACTAATCAGTTCTACCAAAAACCATTTGGTGACAAGGTTAGAAATATCTGAATGTTCAGTAGAATCTTCAACGGTGACCATATTGAAGTGGTAAATTTGATTTATGACTTTTTTATAAATTTCCTCTCTTCTCTTCATTTTTTCCTTTTGTCTTAACACCTTGAGAATATTATCCAATAATATTTCTATTTATATAGTTCCCCAAAAAGTGCTTCTGCTTATCTGTTCCCTTAGTCTTGGAATTCTTTACAAGATTTTTGTGATCCTTCTTTCCTTCTTTTTCCAATATTTTGACAGCATCAGCAGCTCCGTCAGCTTCTTTGTCAACTCCTTGCCTGAAGCCTCAAATTTCTTCATCCAATTTCAAAGAATGATTG